CACTCAAGTATGACCATAAAGAAATTTTATTTAAACCAAAAGCCTGATTTATGGCTCACCAAACGTACATTGGGTGCCTGCTTTGTCAATGAGTTGTCTAAAGTAACACCATCTTGGGGATGCCCGGGTGGCTCAGCGGTTGAGCGTCTGCCTTCAGCTCAGGGTGTGATCCCGGGGTCCTGGGATCGAGTCCCACATCGGGGACTGCTTCTCCCTCTGCCTGTGTCTCTGCCTCTCTCTGTGTCTCTCGTGAATCAATAAATAAAATCTTTTAAAAAAAATAAAGTAAAACCACCTTGTCCTTAACATATGGACCAATTCTACTCCCTGCATTCCTTGACATTAAACTTATGATTCCTGCCTATATGTTAATCTATCATCTTTTGGGCTTTTACAAGATGTAAACAAATATAAAGCCCTGTAAAAACTGCTCACTTTCCAGAGCATTTGTAGTTTTGAACTGTTGGTGAGGTCCAGAGCCCAAGGCCCCTGAAAAAATTCTTGAGACGTCTCGGGTGCAAAAAGGTGGTTTTATTAAAGCGCAGAAGCAGGACTCTCAGGCTGGGCCGGGGTGAGGGCCAGCACAGGCCTCCCAGGTGCTTTGGAAGCAAGGTGTCCAGGGCCCTGAGGGGGCTGCCTGTTGTTGGGAGAAGCTCTTTGTTAGCCTGAGTCAGGAGACCCTTGGGGTGTGTATCTGTGGGCCGTGTGCTGGGGGATGATCACCAACACGTATCTTGGGGTTTAGAGATAAAGGAAGTTTCTTTTTTTAAAATATTTTATTCATTTTTTTAAAAGTTTTTTTTATTTATTCCTGAGAGACAGAGACACAGGCAGAGGGAGAAGCAGGCTCCCTGCCGGGAGCCCAACATGAGACTCCATCCCAGGACCCCAGATCACACCCTGGGCGGAAGGTAGATGCTCTACTGCTGAGCCCCCAGGCGTGACTAGAGGAAATTTTTAAACAAATTTTTGTATGTTCAAGTAGACCCCCAGGGTCCTGGGGTCGGGCTGGAATTGCCTGTTGCCATCGCGCAGTGTTAACACGGAGGCAACTGAGAACCTAGGGGAAGGTCACTCTCTTTCTAGGACATCAGTGGGCTGGAGGGAGTTTTATACTTTTTAACAATTTAATAATTGTTCTCTTGCCTTTGTCTCCCACCATCACACTTTCTTCCCTGTGAACAGCACGTTACAGGGCAGTTGTCCCAACTTGGGCTCGAATAAAACTCTTTCCTACTTTTAGAGATTCTAAAAGGTTTGTTCATTTTGTGTCGCAGGCTCCCAGCGTCTCCAGGTGAGGTAAGATTTCCTGGCCCTGGCTTTGCAGGCCTGTAGCCCTCCCATCCACTCCAGCCGGAGCTTCACCTGTCCCTAGGGAGCTTCACCTGTCCCTAGGGCCGGTTACAGTTGGAAGCTGGAGAGGAAGTTCCCTCCCCCACCTAAGGGCACCTGGGCTCCTCGGGGCAGGGGGCTCAGTCACCCTGGGGGGAGTGAAAGACCCCAAACCCTGAAGCAATCAGGAGGACTCAAAAAGCTAACCCTCATAGGCACTGCCCCACACACACTGGGGCTCAGTCGGTGCAGCTCAAGATTCTTGATCTCAGGGTTGTGAGTTCAAGTCTCACGCTGTGCGTGGAGATTACATATATAAATAAAAATCTTAAAAAAAAGAAAAAGGGGGGATCCCTGGGTGGCTCAGTGGCTGAGCACCTGCCTTCAGCCCAGGGCGTGACCCCAGGGTCCTAGGATGGAGTCCCGCCTCGGGCTCCCCACAGGGAGCCTGCTTCTCCCTCTGCCTCTCTCTCTGTGTCTCTCAGGAATAAATAAAATCTTAAAAAAAAAAAAGGAAAGAAAGAAAAAGAAAAAAATACTAAGCCCCCAAGGAAAACAGGCCTGCAAAGTCTCACCATCACAGACACGCGGGTGTGTGCACTAAGGACTCTCCCCACAGAGTAGGGCAGAGACTTCATCCCCTCAGTGGGAACCACCTCTCACATAATTTATCCGGTGCAAAATAGTCCATTGTTTGTACAACTGAGAACTTCCCCAGTGAAGTCCTGTTCCTCCTTCACAAAGTTTCTCAGTTGTTCACAAAGAAATCCCATGGGTTCTGCCCCCAGAGCAGACCTCTGCTCGGCTCAGGGCTACCTCCCCCAGACCCGGGCCTGCGCCCCTCCTCGCCGCCTCCCCGGGCTGTTCCAGGAGCACTCCAGGCGCCGGCCCACTAACTGCTCTCTCTCCTTTTTCTGTCTTTGCTTAAATCTCGCCTTTTCCGGGATCCCTGGGTGGCGCAGCAGTTTAGGGCCTGCCTTTGGCCCGGGGCGTGATCCCGGAGAACCGGGATCGAATCCCACGTCGGGCTCCCGGTGCATGGAGCCTGCTTCTCCCTCTGCCTGTGTCTCTGCCTCTCTCTCTGTGTGTGTGACTATCATAAATAAATAAAAATTAAAAAAAAAATCTCGCCTTTTCCAGCTTGAACCTGCCAAATTAAAATTGCTCCAGACTAAAGTCCCCGCCCCAGGATGCCCTTCCTGTCCAGCTCCCCTAACGCCTCAAGTCACTTCTTACTGTGCATCATAATACAAGTTTCACTAAGGCAAAGACATTTCTTTTTTCAGGACCCCCGGGTGGCTCAGCAGCTTAGCACCTGCCTTGGCCTGGGGCATGATCCCAGGGTCTTGGGATCGAATCCCGGGTTAGACTCCCTGCATGGAGCCTGCTTCTCCTGCTGCCTGTATCTCTGTCTCTCTCTCTCTCAAATAAATAAATAAATAAAATAATTCTTTTTTTGCTGATGCACTGCCAGTAACTGGCACAGCATGTTAGGAACAGGCACTAAATAAACAGGAAGTGCACGAATGGGGTGTGCAGAGGTGACCCGCCCAAGGTAACATCCCTGGATTGTAATTACTGGGGCTACGAGAGGCAGATTTTTCTAGTTTCTGTTACTCTTTTCTTTTTTTCAAATTCCTTTATATTGTCACTACTGAGCTTGAAGGATACCCTCCCTCTCCCTCCTTGCCCATTTTAATTCTAGAAGTCCCAGGACAGCGAAACCACCCCCCACCCCCCACCCTCCTGGGCAGCGCCGTCCCTCACCCCCCCAACCCACCCTGCACACAGGGGTTCTCTTGGAGGGGCGAGGGAGGGGCGGTTGGCTCTCCCCTAATCCCAGGCCTCTTTCTCCTGCCCAGCTCCTCCCCTCCGCCCCCAGCAGCTGGCCTCCCACCTAGCAGGTGCAGGGGTTGGGGGGTGGAGAAGCCACTTGCGGGCACGGACACCCTCCGGAGCCCGCAGGACTGGGCCACCCTCTGGGGCCTCTGCCTCCACTCCCCCGCGAGTGTACACACTGGCACGCTCCGGGGGTCCCATCTTGTGGAGCTCACCTGCGGGTGGGCCGGTGCAGGGGTCCCCGAGGCTCCGCCATACCTGGGCCCGAAGTTCCCGGGGCTCAGGAGGGAGTGAGGAGGGGGGAGCCCAGACTTAATCCCTCTGAATCCAAAACCAACGTCAGCACAACTGTGCTCCAGGTGGAACCTGCGGGGGCGCTCAGGCCCTGCCTCTCGTGCTTCTGGTGGTGGCCGGCATCCCAGGGACACGGGGACCCTGGCAGCCACCCCTGAAGCCGAGAGGGTCACTGGAAACACTGTTTTGTCCACTCAGGTGAGCTTCCCCCCAGATGGCTGCGGGCCGCACCCCGGCACCCCAACCGGACCTTGGTGCACAGCCCCCATGAGGCTACACACCAGGGCAAGAGAAGAGCCTGTGGTCTCCCCCATAAACAGTGAGGGGAAGCATTCACCCACCTGCACAGCAGGTGATGTCACATGGCCTTATCTGCAGGAAAAATTCAGATAAAAATAGAAAGTGGGGCAAAGGTGAGAACCAACTGGTTTCTATAAACCAGGGAATTTTGTATTACCATGTTTCTGCCTGCCTCCGGCTAGGATTTTGGAATAAAACTATACGGTATCTACTTGGACCCTTCTGGAGTTCGTGTATGCACCAAGCTATGTATATAGGACATTCTCCTACCTCTGGCTAATATTATCAAATCAACTTATAAAATCCCATAGAGAAGACTGTTCTGATTTGCTTACCCATAAATCAGTGCTCACGTAAAATATCCCAAACACTCCTACAAATATAGAAATTAACCAAATGCTGTTCCAGTTTATTTGACTTGGGTAAATCTTTGGTAAATAAGCCTAGTTTAATATTGTTGGTTTAGGACATGAGTGGCACAGCGCATGAGAGTCTGCCTTCAGCCCAGGCGGTGATCCAGGGGTCCTGGGATGGAGTCCCGCATCAGGCTTCCTGTGAGGCACCTGCTTCTCCCACTTCCTGTGTCTCTGCCTCTCTCTCTCTCTGTGTGTGTCTCACGAATAAATGAATAAAATCTTTTTTAAAAACTGTTGATTTACTAAAATCAACTGTGTATCCTGAGTTATCAGCATTAGGTATAACCAGAGCACACATCTTTAGTATATTTGAGTTTGCTAGTCAAATAAGCCACCGTTACGTCTATCGGATGTCTAAGATTATAAAAGCTATAAATTCAGCCTGAGAAGGTGTACAAGGTGAAGATGGCATAGAAGTCTACTGCTCGCTACTCATGACTCCTTATGTCAAGTGCAGCAGAAAAACAATGAATTTGACATTCAAAAAAAATTTTTTTCTGTTTTTTGGGCTTGTTAGAGGGTACTTTTTGGAGAGAAGGCATGGAGGATAGGACAGGCTTATGGGACTGCGCTGAGGGCCAGGAGGGGAGGAGGCAGATTGAGGGGGCTCAGCTCTACATCTGGGGAAGGCCCCACAGCCTCAGAGAGACCTCCACGGGAGGAGCCAGGACCTGGGGGCGCCCAGCTTCCTCCTGACATTTCCCCAAAGCCACTGCTGGATGGTGAGGTGACACCCCCCTCCTGGCCTGGGATTCAGGATCCCGCTGAGGGTCTGACAGCCAGAACTCCCGGAAAAGGGTGGAGCCAGAAGAGCCCGGCCCCAGCTCCCCCCCCCCCCCATGGTCACAGGATGCAGGGGGAGAATCTGGTGGCCACTGGGATTAGTGGCTCCAGATGTCACCTCACTGAGGGAAACCTGACGCTTGTGGGTGAGTGAGGGGGGACCAGGCCGGGGAGGCGCCGAAGGGGTCGGCCTCAGAGGGCAGGGGCTGGGGAGGGCAGGCCGGAGACTGAGGCTGGAGCAACCCGCAGGGCCACCATCCCCAGGAGCCATGAGAGCCGCGCCTGTCCTGTGGCTGGCCATCCTGCTGTGCCGGGAGCGAGGTGAGCCGGGGCCTGTGGGGGGGGGGGTTTAGGGGGGGTGACAGGGTCCCCTGCCTGCGGTGGGGCGGGCCGGAGCTGGGGGGGGCGGCGGCCGGGGCTCCGGCCTCCTCTAACTGCAGCCCTCCTGGCGGCCCAGTGCGGAGCCTGCTGTGCTACACCTGCCCCGGGGCGCCCAGCGCCAGCCTGTGCCCGCCCGCCCAGTGCCTGAGGCCTGGCATCTGCTTCGATAGTAACATAACCACGACCTCGAGCAGTGGTGAGTCCCCAGCACCCAGAGCCCGGGGGCGGCTCGGGGAGCTGTGCTTGAGGCTCCCCCAGCCAATCAGAGGAGTGTGGGTTTGGCAGGGGCCGGGGTCCCGCCTGCCTCAGTGTCCCCATCTGCGCGGAGAGGGGCTGGCCTTCCTGGGGAGCCGATGGGACTGCACGGAGGAATGGGGGGCCATGCGCCCCAGGGAGTGGGTGACCCAGGATGACTCCAGGAGGGTGGGAGGGCACCTCTCACGCCGGGGCTCCTTCTTGCCCACAGGAATGCAGGTGAGGTCAAAGTACAAGGGGTGCGCTCCCTCCTGCGAGGAAGCTAAGGAGACCCTGCAGTGGATTTTCCTGATGAGTAGCCTGGACCAGCTGGACCAGCTGGACCCCAGCCTACCCAAGTCTGAACTGCAGAGTTTGACGTGCTGTGAAAAGGACCTCTGTAATAGGGGGGCGCAGGCCCTGGGCCCCGGCGGGGGGCTGCTGCTCGGCCTAGCGCCCGCCTCCCTCTGGGCCCTGCTGTGAGCAGCCCTGACCCCAGCACAGAGGGCAGACTTCCACGCAGCATGCACACGAAGCAAGCTCGCTGCCCCGCACACGCACGCACTCGCACGCACACACGCGGACACTGCAGACCCTGTAGACCTTCAGCTGCTCCTGCCCAACCTCCCTGGCACCCAGTGCCCTGCTAGGCCAACAGGCCTGTCCCCCTTTGCAGACACCATCAGTTAACCACTGACCCAAGATGCAGAGCCTGTCGCGCCCTGGCCCTGACCAGACGTGACCTCTAGGACAGCAAAGCCCGCAGCCTTGCCCAGGGCCAGCCAACACTGTGCCAGCCGGGCCGGAGAGAATAAACACTTTCCACATCGTCCTGTTCTTGGCTTACAGTTCTGCCCCACGAGGGAGGGGAGGGTGGATGGCGCCTGGGGCCTGCCTGGGAGGGGGACTTCCCTACCTCTTGGTTTTCCCTCAGCCAGGGGGGGTGCCCATGGCTCCAGGGGCTAGGAGCAGTGGTCAGTTCTGGAGTCCCCCCCTCTGGCGAGGCACAGTAGGGTGGTAGCTCCCCCTCGTCCCCATGAAGCATATCCCCCAGTGCACACTCCCTGCTCCCCAAGTCCCTCCCGGGAGCCAGCCCTGCACCCTCTGTAGGTGGCTGATGTGCTGGGGGGGCTTCAGCAGAGGCCCGCAGCAGTGGAAGACAGGGTCTGGGCCAGTTCCTCTTTCATGCATTCTTCCCCTCTGAGCCCCTGCGCCCCAGGCGACCCCAGGATTCCAGCCCACAGGACCCCGCTCCTCCCCCTGGCATGGAGCCCAAAGCTTCATTTCCTGCCTAGTTGCCCCCGGTCACATCTTCAGGAAGAAAAGCCCCCTCCTTCCCCTGCCTGGTGCAGCAACCCCCTGAGTGTGGGGACTCTCAGGGTAGGGTCTTCCCTTCACAAGCAGGGAAACTGAGGCACGGGGAGCCTCATGCCAGTCTGTGGCAAAGACAAAGAGCCAGAAGTGGTGCCCTGGCCCATCAGTTAGTTGACTGGCTCACATGTGACTTCCACCTCCACGGAGCAGACCCAGTGAGTTCTCCCTTGAGTCCTCTCACTACCCAAGGAGCGGAGCGGAAAGGACTGGCAGATCCAGCCTCACCCCCACACAAGGGAGTGGCCATTCCCCAGGCTGGGCATGCTGGAGGAAGCACAGGGCCTGGGGAAGGGAGGTGGGGCCCACAGGGACAGGGCCCCGGGGCAGAGCAGGGCCTCTGAGGTCTGGAAATCCGAAGCCTCTTCCCACCACCCCTCCTCCCAGCATCTCCCAACTCGCCCCGCCCCCACCCCCTCATGCGGTGCAACCCATGCATCCTGACTCTACACACCCCAACTGTGCCATGCATGGGGGAGGGCTCCTGGAGGGTGAGGGTATGTAGGGGGGGCAGGGGGCTTGGTGGGCGCAGGGGTTTGAAGAACCATGGCTGGTAGGCCAGTCCCCCGCCTCCTGACCTCAGCATGCTGGCACCCGGGTGACCCGGGCTAGGGCCCACGTATGCTGGCCTGCCCGGCGAATTCGCTATGTGGTGACCAGGGCCTCCGGAATACGCAGGCCACAGGCCAAGGGGGTGCCGTGGCTCCTGTCCGCCCGCGGCCGCTCTAGGCAGCAGCCGGAGCCACCGGCCCGGGTCGCACCGCCACTCCTCTCCTTGGGCTTCATAGTCCGCCCGTGTTGGTGAGCAGTACGAGGCGCTGAGGTACTTGAGCGTGTGTCTTTTCTTTTTGATTGCTGTATCGTGGTAACATGGTAACGGGCAAACTTCTTTTCATTGTTAATATTCTTAAATGTCCTAGTGGGTTACCTAAACATATTTTCTGTCAACATATGAAGAGATTTTCTTATATTTTTCTTAAAATTGCTAAGTCCTCCATTTCCTTTTTTTTTTTTTTAAGATTTTATTTATTTATTCATGAGAGGCACAGAGAGGGGCAGAGACACAGGCAGAGGGAGAAGTAGGCTCCCTGTGGGGACTCAGTCCCGGGACCCCGGGATCATGCCCCGGGCCCACGGCAGGCGCTCAACCGCTGAGCCACCCAGGCTGCCTAAATCCTCCAATTTGAGTTTTGATCCATCGGAAATATTTTCTTCAGGACACCCCAGCCCCCGACCCAAAGACCAAATACAGTCTGGGGCAGAGTTCATCCTTCTCTGACCTGCTACCCTAGGACCCCACAGGCCCCCTGCGCCCCTGGGTCACCCCAACACCTGCGGCGGGGCTGGCGGGGGCGGCAGACAAAGGGGGGCAGCTCCCCACACTCACTTATCTCCCACTGAGCCTACTCCATGCTGCTTTGAAAACATTTCAGCTCTTCATTCTGAAATCAGTTCACACTTACAAAGAAGTTTCAAAAATAGCACCGAGTTCCTCTATTCCCTCCACTCGGCGTCACCCCACGTTAACTTCTTACATAAGGGTCAAAGGCAGGAAATCAGCGCTGGTGCCGACGCTCCCAGATCTGCACCGCGGCCCCCGCGCCAAGGCCCACGCCGCGGACTGCACGCGGACTCTCTGGGGCCAGAAGCTAGTCCTGGAGCCCGCACCCCAACGCGCTCCTCGCCCTGGGCCGCTCCCCTGCCTTTCCTGGTCATTTCCAGGGTGTTCCCTCCAGCTCCATCTGAGACCTTAATAAATCATAATTAGTCCTGCTCTCGTCGACACGGACATGGCCTTCCCCGCCTGTGTGCGACCTGGAAATGCCCAGGGCCTCCAGGTACCACACAGACTGAGGTCACGGTCCGACTCCATTGCTCCCCCCGCCCCCCCCCACCCTCACGGGCACGTTCCCAGCAGGAGGGAGGCCGGCGGGCATGGGCTCGCATGGCAGGGGCCCCAGGAAAGCCGGCTGACTTGAGTCAAAGTGCATCTGTCTGTCTGGAATCTCTGTCTGTCCTGACTGGAAGTCCCGCACAATTAGGAACAGGTGCGCCTCTGGCACCTGCGCCCCTTTCTGTGCAATGGGCGGGTGGGCTCACGGGCCTCCCTGGCCCAGCCGCTGGTCATGACGTAGCTTTGGAATCTAGGCGAGGTTTGCTGGGGTGAGGTCCAGACTCAATGACCCAGAAAGAATTCTTGAGATGTCTTTGGTGCAAAATGCTGGTTTTATTAAAGCACGGGGACAGGACCCGAGGGCAGGAAGAGCAGCTGCCCCAGGACCCTGAGGGGTGGGGGTTTGGGAGGTAAGAACAAGGGTGGGTTTTAAAAGGACTTTCCTGCTAAAGAAGACTCACAAGAGGCCAGGAGGCGGAGGCCGGTCATTGTCAAACTAAGGTTGTTTTTCTCTCCAGGGAGGCATCGACTTGACAGTCAGCTTCCTGGAGGAATGCGGCAGGAATCCCCTGTCCACACCCTCTCCGGGCTCCTACAGCGGGAAGGCAGCAGGATGAAGAGCTGGGCCTCCCACGTGCAGAGGGGTGGCCCCCCAGGCTCCCACCCCAAGAGGCTGAAGGCCTCCCCGCCTCCCTGGCCATTCCCACCACCACCAGGGAGGAGGCTTCCCAGCCAGGAGATAAAATCTCTGCCAGGACCGGAGAGCCCCTGCAGGAACAATGCAGGAAGTCAGCCCTCAAGGTCTTGGGGGGCCTGGCCGGAGCCCACCCTTCCTGAACGAGCTGCCCGGCCTCTCTAAGGCTGGAGGGGGGGCTGCTGAAGCTCCCCCCCCACCAACGTCCCCTCTGGCAGCCGGAGAACACTGGGCCTGGACCCCACAGGGGCACCAGGCTCCCCCAGGAGGGGCCTCCGGACTCAGGGAGGACGGGGCCCCGGGGCACGGGGGTGGGGGTGGGGGGGGGGAAGGTGCTGGCGCGTGTGTAGGAGCCAGACCCCCAGGAACCAAGGTTAGTGCCTCCCCGCGCAGCTCTCCCCCAGCCCCAAGGTCAACAGCCACCCTGGGAAACATGGAACCAAATCCTGCGGCCCACCCAGAAGGCCGCCCTTGCGAGCACTGCCCAGGGTGCGGGCCACCCCACGGCTCAGGGCCAACGGGTCCTGGGCGCCCCACCCACGGCAGGCCCGGGGTGAGGGTTGACGGCAAAGTGCAGGGTCCCTGTCCCAGGGCAGTGCGCAGGCTCAGGGGCAGGGACCGGATGGATACTCTGTCCTTGGCCCTGCACGCGCGGGGCGGGGGCACACCCGCAATCCCCAGGTCACCGGCTCCTCTGGCCAGACCCTACCAGCGGCTCCAGGCACCTGCTGCCCAGCTACCCTGCCCCCGAACTCCACGGGGGTCTGCTGCCTGGGGGGGCAACCCCAGCACCACCCGACTCCCCTTCCTCCCGGGTTCACCCCTGCCCGCCTCACTGCACCCCTCCACGAGGCTCCCCACCCCAACCTGCCGCAGACCTGGACCGCTCTTGGCCAGAGCTGACCCCCCAGCTGCCCATCTTGGGTGGACACTGGTCAGTGCGCCAGCAGCACTCTGGGCTCCCCTAGGGGGGCAGCGGTCTCCTGCTGGCCGGGAGCTGGGCAGGGCTGAGGCTCCGGGGTGTTGCAGGGGCTCCCTGCTACACCCCCACCCCCACCCCGGGTGCTCTGCCACTGCCCTCCCTGCTCCAGGGCACAGTGGTGAACACGGGAGGGTCCCTGGGGGTGGGTGGTGCCTGCGGGCCTCCCCATCAGGCTGTGGGGGATCAGTGAGGGCACCCTCACTTCACGGGCCAGGGTGAGGGGGCGACAGGCATCGCTTCCACAGCTCAAACCAAGTTTATCTGCATTTAACATTCCATTTCTTTCCTGAACATGGTTTTGTTACTTAGGTAATTATTATTAAATAATTATTATTTTAAAAATTATTATTAAATGATTACTTAGGTAATTATTTTCTGTAAGAAAGTCCTAATAAACCCTCTGAAAATTAAGTGTGGGTCACTAGGGGCTTTTTGGTGTCCCTGACTGCTGGTGAAGACAGCATAGTGGCTGCTGATCAGATTTTTTAAATAAAAAATAGAGTGGAGGGATCCCTGGGTGGCGCAGCGGTTTGGTGCCTGCCTTTGGCCCAGGGCGCGATCCTGGAGACACAGGATCGAATCCCACATCTGGCTCCCGGTGCATGGAGCCTGCTTCTCCCTCTGCCTATGTCTCTGCTTCTCTCTCTCTCTCTCTCTCTCTCTCTCTCTCTCTGACTATCATAAATAATAAATAAAATTAAAAAATAAAGTAAAAAAAAAAAGTGGAGGGGGTGCCCAGGTGGCTCAGTGGGTCAAGCTAAGCTGCCTTCAGCTGGGCTATAATCCCGGGGTCCCGGGGCTTAGCCCGAGTGGGGCTCCCTGCTCAGCGGGGTCTCCCTCTGCCCTGCTCCCACTTGCATGTGCACATGCTGCTGCTCTCAAATGAAAT